CAAGGTCATGTATATTTTCTCTCATGTGGTAGCTAGAGAGGAAAAGGTGGGGGGAATCTCATGAAATTAGAAAGGAGCTGGACATGGTGGTGCATGCTGTAATCTCAGCTATTCTGGAAGCTGAGAAAGGAGGATCACAAGTTCAAGGCCAGTCTTGACAACTTGGCAAAAATGTCTCCAAAAATTAAAAGGGGTAGAGATGCAGCTTGATGGTAGAGTACCCCTGGATTTAATCCTCAGTACCGCCACACACACAAAAAAAAAGGGGGGGGGAGAGCAATGGATCAGAAGAACTGGACCAGGGGAGGAACAGGAAAGGGGAGCACTCACCTGGGATATTAAATTAATCAAATTGTTATGTGCATATTATGAACATGTCACAATGAAACACACTATTCTGTATAATTATAATAAAACAATAAATTAAAATAATAAGATTGAAGAAATGAGCATTCTTAATACTAATAAAAAACAATAAACAAGCTGGGTGCAGTGGTGCACACCTGTAATTCCAGTGACTCTGAGAAGCTAAGAGGAGGATCAAAAGTTCAGTCAGCCTTAGCAACATACAAGGCACTCATCGACTCAGTCACACCCTGTCTCTAATATTTTTTTAAAGGGCTGAGAATGTGATTGAGTGCCCCTGGGTTTAATCTCCAGTACCAAATCAAACCAAACCAAAACCCACAACAACAACTACAAAACAACAGTAAATAATTTTGAATTTTTATATAAAGATTTTATACATGAAATGTTCTGGATACTTTATTTGTAAAAGCAAAACAATTAGAAACAACCCAAATGTCTACCAACATGTGAGTGGATAAGCAAATTACAATACATCTATATGATGGAATATTATTCAGTAATAGAAAGGAATGAATTCCCCCATCCCCCGCCCCTTAGTAGGAATCAAACTGAGGGATGCTTTACACTGAGCTATATCCTCAGCCTGTTTTTAATTTTGAGACAGGGTCTCCCTAAGTTGCTCAGGTTGGCTTTAAATTTATGATCCTCCTGCGTCAGCCTTTGGAGTTTCTGGGGTTAGTGGCATGTGCGATAGCCCCTGATTCATCTCAACGTTTTAAAGAACATTAACTCAAGTAGATATACAGTGTAGATGATCCTGATAACATCCCAAAATGGAGTATACACAACTCCTTGGATTTCCTTCCCCAGGGATTCTCCTTCTCTGATGAATGTACCTTCTACTTAACCAGTTGTTTGGATCAGAGAGGGTAACTGACCCAATGCCAGCTAATAAATCAATTTTCCTGGAAAATACGGAATTGTGTTTAAGAATCTAACAATAATCTGACTTCTCCCTTACACAAAAATAAACTTATACATTGTCTACCATGTGGACTAGGAAACAGAAATACAGTTGGAAGACTGAGAAAGAGGTAAGCAAGAGAAAAGCATAATTTCCTGGTTTTTCCCCAGTGTTACAGTCTGGTTCCAGTCTGTTCTAGAAAAATGACCTTGGGTGTCATGATCCCTTACTACGACTTTTCTAATAAAATTCACCCTTTGTGAGCTTAGATGAATTTCTATCACTTCCAATAAAAATATTGTTAAAACATATTTTATCGTTAAAAGAAAACACTGGGTCACTTCATATTGGAAAAGTAATTATTTATTATGACAAAAATAAAACTGTTGACTGAAAACAAATGAATGTTACACTATATTGCACCATGATTGTAAATGACCCAAAACCTGTTTAAAAGATGAACATTCCAGAGCAAACAGCATCCTTTTACTTAGATAAGTAGGCATGCAATCAACTCATTATGACGTAATTGTAGAAATAATCATGAGAACCAGCCACCTGAACTTAACATATAAAATGCATTTCACAATAGTAATAAAGTATTAAAATGACAAAAACATGTCTTTTAAACAACCCACCATCAGAAGAACATGCTTTGAACCATTTGCAGGAAGTGATGATGTGAATCATTAATTACCTTTGCAATTTTCTTGGTTAATGCTTATAATCTTGAACCAATGGCATACATTTCAGTTGCTTGGTTAGGGTTCAGAGCAATTTGTGGTGTGAAGATATTTTTTCTTTCCTCAGAACTACTGCAGGGGGCCCACAGAGAGATCTGACTCAAAATTTTGACCTTATAATGCCATTTGTATTTGTTCAGGCTGATTAACTAAGATATACTGTTTATTGCAAAAAGCTTGAATCTTTATGGATACAATTTAAATTTTAAGAAATGAACATAAATATAAATACACACATTTTAATGTAGTTGTACATTCTGAGGCAAGAAGTATATTGAATACGGGACCTAATGCTTCCTCTTTAATGGTCTAAAGCACCAATTTATGTTAAGATGGCAATGTGTGATTATAATCATTATACTCTGATTAGAATAAGTGCAAGAGCAAGGCTGTAACTGCTTTTAATTTTTTTTTTTAATTATGCTCTGTGGACTAGATGAACATGATAAAGTTTATAACAATCCAATAACTGAAAAAAATAACCATCATTTCACACTTTCAATGAAACAGTAGCTCAACTTTTTAAAAACCAAAATTAAAAAAATTTCATAATCCACACTGAAAGTTTACTCCAAGAGAATAAAAGAGGGGTTTCAAGTCCCTGAATTTCCTGAGGGAAAATGTAAGATTAAAATGATTATAGTCTTTTAGGGGATAAAACATGCAAAGAAACTGAGATCAAATGATAGTCATTTGCTATTTTAACCAATAATGACGGAAATATATTCACAGAATACTACAACCACTCAAATTAAAGGATTTTCCTTTCCCTTATTCTATTTAACTAATTAAATATTGAATGAGTATTGGCTCATTTGCTTTAATGAAAACTGTATGTGAATCTGATGCATCATGTTAGCCCTGCTGGTAATAAACAATTAAGAATAAAACAAAAATCTCTTAAGGAATTCGATTCCTTAGTTGTGAATTTTGCATATTTCAAACACAGTTTGRGTGAATGGGGTATTATGGGATGGTGTAACATCCCACAAACTTGAGCAAAGCACCTTGTGGACTGAAAAATGAGGTAACTTTTTAATAAAAAATTTCCAAGTTGGTGCAAGAAAACATTTCCACTCTTTCAGAACGTTGTTTTCCTTTTTCTTTTCTTTCTTCTTCCTTTTCTTTAGGGACTGAACCCAGGGGCACTGTACCATTAGTGACATCCCCAGAACCTTTTTGTTTTTTTATTCTGAGATGGTCTTGCTAAGTCACTTAGGGCTGGTCTTGAATTTATGAACTTCCTGACTCAGCCTCTCTAGTTGCTGGGATTGTAGGCATGTGCCACTGACCCTAGCCAGGACTTATGTTTTCTATTCCAAAAGCCACGCAGAGCACATTATATTATCTCTTCATTTTCAGGAGAACATTTAGATCTAATGTCCTTTTGAAGATTTTATATCTTTAATTTCAAATATTCAGAATTTGTTTCTAATAGCATTCAAATTAACACTATCCAAACATTTCATCAAAGCACATATATTTAAAGCTGACTCTAGGCCAACTGAATACATTTCCCCCCCTAAATTTAAAATGTAGAAGTTGAACATATTTTTCACATTGACCTTTTCTAAAATAGCTTTGGTTACCCAAAATTCTTAAACTATACATTTTTTGAGGAGGAGCCTTGCTTTTGGGTTGTCCTCACAGTTAAAATCAATGAATAATGATGAGACACTATTGGAAAATTTAACCTTCAATATAAAATGTTTCAAATTTATGCAGACATTTATAAAACAAGAACAGTCTGTCTACAGTATATTTTCAATACTAAAAAGTTAAACAGAATTGTAGTTTGGGGTAGCATTTATAGGCAATAAACTGAACTAACCACTTCCATCCAATTAGGAAAGCCAGGAAAATGAACGAGATAAATTTTCCAGAAGAAGGTATTTCCAATATACACCAATGTTTTTTAAGCAGTATATTATTTTCTATGCAATATGGCTTGTTTTCTCTTTTGTATTATCATTAGCCATTAACTCGATTTAAGTTAAATAGTAGTTATTAAATTTCCTACTTGTTTGAATAATAAATGAGTGATAAGGGGGTAGGAATCAAATAATAAATGAGTATGATTTAAAAATTTTTTGGTTCAAAGCCATAAATTAAGAATTTAAGAGAAGTGCCAATAAAACTTATACATATATATGTACAGGACTAGTACACTTTCCTAAAGTACATTTATGGATTAAGTGAGTGCTATTCAGAAACAATTTCATCTATAATTTGTCCTACAACACTAGAGCAAAAAGAAAAAAAAAGAAAAAAGCTTCTATTGTTTTCTACAAAATTTTCTTTGCTTTGAGCGTTCCATGGCTCTTCAGAGGCTACTGTAAATGGCATTGCCTATATTACTCACTGCTTCCATAAGAAAATAATTATTTTCTCTTTATTTTATAGATAATAAAAGTTCAATTATGCTTAATCAAAGTGATTATGGCTATAGTGGTGGTGACATTTAGAAATTTTCAGCACTGAAATTTGTATTATCTTTCCTCTAATGAATACAGAATAAAATATACCTTTAAGCATACTAACACAAGAACTTAAAAGCAAAAATTACATATTTAATTCTCAGTTTTCAATAATTTTATGTATGTGTGTGTATATATATATATATATATATATAATATTTCAGGTTTTAAGAAATTAAATTACATTAACAATATCAAGTATATTCCCTTATTAAAAAAAAGGACAGTTAATTCTAAAAGAGTTCTCAAGTGAGTTTCAAACAGCAAAATCTCAGAATTAAGAAAGATGCCATATTTGAACTTGCAAAAGCAAGTACATTTTAATTTTAACACAATGAAAATATTTTCCTTAAAATTTAAATTCTTTAGGGTTAGGGTAGAGTGCTTGCCTAGCACCTGTGAAGCACTGGGTTCTATCCTCAGCATCACATAAATAAATAAAAAATAAAGGTATTGTATCTATCTTCAACTAAAAAACAAAACAAATAAACAACAAAAAAMCCCACAAAACTTTAAATTCTTTATCCTCCAATTAAAAATAAAATGTATAATAATCTCTTGAAGGTAATATGTGTTGGGTTTCTTACTTCCCACTTATTAGAAACTTTGCTAGGCAATATGTGGAGTGAACAGAGAGGGTAAAAGCTCAAATTATTCCCTTGTTGAACTAATTAGCTGCTGACTTCTAAAGAACAGGTATAATACAAAATTAAGAACTTATCTCAAATATGAATAAAGGCACTAATCACAAATTTACATTTTTCAAATAATATATGTTGGCTGTTTATAATGAATAAAATCAATGCTTCAGTATTAGATATTGCTTATGTAAAGACATTCTCTTGGAGTAAAGGATGATCAGTTTTCATACTATGTAACAGGAAAGATCTAACGAAAACCTTTTAAAAAGTTTTGTATGAACTTCCTTATTGAACTTTTCCCAATCGTTGGCACAAAGTCTACTTGAATGATGACTTCCTCCTCAACAAACAGCTAACACAGATCACTTCTAATCCAAAAATAACAAAACAGTTTAAAAAAATTACTTAGAAAATTAAATAGTGAATCTTAGACTCTACTAGTATAGCTGTTTGACAAAATACAATCAACTATTAAAAACACTTTCAATATAATGCTGATGTGGTAATATAAAAAATAAACATGTAATTTGATAGAAGAGAACTGAACCAGCCAATCTTATTGGATACATGAAGGCAGATAATTATTTCATAAGAATACTGGAGTACTAAATATACTTTTTCTCTCAGGATAGGTTCGAGAATTTTTCTTAGTACTTATGGTAAACAATAAAACCAAGTAGAAATTCAGGCAAAGTGTGCTTTAGGCAAATGGTATTTTCTTAATTTCCATCTCCCTCCACCACCATCACTCACAACACACACACACATACACACACCCCACAAAGCATCTGTATTGATTTATATCTGCTTTTCTCACTTGTTCTTGATTATGGGTTATATTAAAACTAAACTAAACTAAGCCACTACTTGGTATAGAATAATTAATTAAAAGGTTCAAAATAAAGTTAATTATTTTCCAAAGTCCAGAAAGCTTTCTCTTGGCCATTTTTCTGTTCGAGGGCATGCTACCACTAAACAACTCAGAAAAGTGTTATCAAGTTTATCTCAATTAATTAATCTCAATATAGTAAACTAAATATACCTGAAAACAGCAAAATTTAAATTCATTTACAAATAAAACATTAAAATTAAAATACCACTTTTGAACAGATATTTTGATACTCTTATGAACACTGAATCTTATTTTTGATCCAAAAGAAAAAAATACTGCAAGAATGGAATAATATTCTCTAAATATATGTTCTATACCTTCTTTAGAGCAAAATCACACATTTGAAATAAAAGAATTCAAATTCCTGTCCTCCCTCTTAAATGAAAATATGCAATGCTTACATATTCATATTAGACAACTGCCTCAAAACCTTTTTAATGCTATCCAATAAATAAACTTGATTATGACGTTTCCTGCACTTTGATTTCTGAATTTATGTGGTGTTAAGAATACTACTTTGAGTATTATAGTAATATTATAAAAGCTAGGATTAAATTTAGCAGCTTCCTATAAGATTTTAGAACATGAAGTATACATAACTCAAAGATGGCAACTGTTTCAAGGCTACTCCATACAACATTCTCAAAAATATTTAAAGAAAGCCCCATATTTTTTTAATATTCTGCTGGTGGCAAAAATGCTATTACAGACACTAAATTTTAAGGAAAAAACAAGGACTATTCATACTTCTGCTTTAGTTACTGTCCAAAGCAGATGTGATGTTTTCTTCAAATAATAGCTGAAATTTTGTGGATAACAGAGTTTTGCAAATTGATAGTAAAATAGATTCAGATGTCATATTTTAACTTTAGTGCTGGTGTGCTTTAATAATTTCTGATTATTACCAGATTAATCCAACAGTATTTACCATCCATGCCAGGCTTTCAAATAAATATTTTACCTGGATTAGTTTTTACCAAATGTTGTAAGCACAAAAGTGAACTCAATTTCTTTACATAAATTAATAGTCCACTTAATTTCCATGCTAATAGCAACTTACAATTCTTCCATGAAATGCAATATGTGAGGGAAATAAAGGCAAATATTCATGATGTTTAATCTTTCTAATATGTATCTTCTAGGCAGATTTATTTCTTTAAAGTCTGTCAAAAAGATAAATGATTCATAAAAAGAACAAATATTTAGTGCTGGAAAAATTTGGAAGTAGTACCTGATAATTTCCACTAAAATTCTGTCAAAACTGGAAGGAGGGAGTGGTGATCATGAATGGAAAGAAATTGGTCATAAAGGTTATAACAATACTTTTGAAAACATTAAACATATGACAAACATTTTTTACAAGGCAGTCACTGAATAATTAGAATACAGAATAAGCAGTCAGAAGAGTTCTGTTGCTGAAAACAGTTATGCATTATGTTCATCCAACTGAAGATTAGTGCATTTAAAAAAAGTTAAGAAAAAATCTTTTATGTTCCAGTTCAGCTGCACTTGATTCAAGTGTTGCTCATAGAGGTTTGTGTTGTTATAAATTAAACATGCTGCTGCCTCAGCAGCCAAAGGTACTAGGAAAAATGTTCATGTCATAGAATAAATAGAGCAGTCTCTTTCAAGCTAAAAAGTTATCTTACGCCAATCCGGGAGGTCATCCACTCTAGACCTTGGCATAACCTATACAAAGAAAGAAGTATTTTTAAAATTAATAAAAGATTCACTTAAAAAGATTTTAAATCATTATGAGTCATTGTGGGAAACTGCTTTACTTTCATCTTGAAGATACAGCTTTGGCAGTTTTGACATGAAGACTACAAATGCCCCTCCCCTTTAACTGAAACCACTTGGAAAAAAAAAAAAAGAGCAAGAACGTCACCTTACCCTCTTAAACTCCTAAGAATGAAATACCTACAGACAACCTTAAAATCATGGGTCAAAGCATTTCTATAACACATCTATTATACTGCAAGCATTTCTAAGGAGAAAACTAAGAAGTTAGGTTGATATGAAGAAAAACAAGTTCCTAGATATAAACTATATAATCTATGTATAACACACCTTGGCTTAATATCCACTTTCAAATTCTTAGAAAAGAATACACCACAATGGCATTTATCTCAAATGTTTCTTGTCTAGAAAAATTTCTTGTCTCCCAAAAAGGCTTCTGATAATAAAGGAGATGTATACTTGTGAAAAACTGGAAGCTTGGGTTTAAGTCCTTGCATAAAATATATAATTTCTTTAAACATTCTGTTCCTTTATAGTTCAGGTGATATAATAGTTTTCTCTCACTCAAAAAATTATAAAAGTTAACAAATGAACAATAAAAATTTTGGACTGTGAAAATTTAATTCAAAACTTATTATTGCTAGACATGGTGAACCACACCTGTAATCCTGGTGACTCAATAGGTTGAGGCAAGAGGATTCAAGTTTGCGGTCAGCCTGTGTAACTTAGCTAGATATAAATAGATAAAATAAAAATTATTGCTTTTTTCTAGCTAAATATTACATTTACATTAAAAATTATAAAAAAGTTATAATTTTGTTTACTAAAATAATGCAACCCTCTAAGTCTGAGATACAGTATAAAAACCACCTTAATAACAGTAAAAGAAACAAAGATCCAAGAAGGAAACAGGTTTGCCTAAAAAAGTTGAAAGGATCCATATCTCCCCTCAGGTTGATTAACACTTACCCTTCTCCTGTTAAAGCACAGCAAGACTGAATGTGCCATGGATGATCCTTAATTGAACTAAGGGTGAGGTATTTAGAGATTTCAGCTGCCGTCATACACCCTTTCATATCCTGTTTATTTGCAAAGATAAGGACTGCAGCTTTCCTTAAATCCTGCGATCAATAAAAAATCTCTATTATGTGAGATATTATTAGTCAAACTAAAATAATGAAGTAAAAGTGTAAAATATACTCAGCAGACAGTTATAATGGAATGTTCCTACTTTAAAATGATCAGGCACTAATAATTAATTTTAAAATTTTGTTGAAATAAAAATAATCTCCATCACAATTTAATGGCCCAGTCTAACAAAGACAGATTAACATAAATCAGATAGTTAAAAGTTTTATCTTTATATTTGGGCAAACGGAGTTAAATTAAAAATAAAATATACAGATAGTCTTGGTGGTACACAACCATAATTCTAGCTTCTCAGGAGGCTGGGGCAGGAGGATTGAGTTCAAAGGAGCTTCAGTAACTTAGGGAGGCACTATGCAACTCAGTGAGACCCTGTCTCTATTTAAATATAAAAAAGGGCTAGAGATGTGGCTAAGTGGTTAAGTGCCCCTGGGTTCAATCCCTGGTGGGGTGGGGGGGGGGGAGAAAATATACCAGAATCTGAAATATAGACATATGGCTAAATTTCAATGTTGTGAAAAGAACTGAAATAAAAAAATACACATAATAAGTATAAGAGGTTTAAAGAACATGGAATATATTTCCTACAACTTAGGTACAGTAAAACACAGTAAAAGTATAAAAATAAGCAAAGAAATAATAATCACTACTTTTAGGATACTGGACAACCTCTGAGAGAAAAATCACATCAAAAGGTTTCATAAGAATATTTGTTAGAGGGGAGTGATGGGAGGCAAGGGAGTATGGGGGTAGGAAGGACAGTAAAATGAATCAGATATTATTACCCTATGTGCATATATAACTACACGACTGATGTGATTCTACATCACCTACAACCAGAAGAATGAGAAGTTATCCTCCATTTATGTATGATGTGTCAAAATGCACTCTACTGTCATGTGTAACTAATTAAAGGAGAATGTTACAATTATCTCATTATTCATTAAATAATTTAATAATTATAATACTTGGGGAAAGCTAAAGGTTTTCTTTTTTCATATCTCACTTATCACACTTTATTCTAAGGCATGCATAAGAAATTTCAACGTGGAAAAAAACACTGCAGAAACAGTAGTAGCCTATAAATTAATGTCAGGCTTTTTTATGTTTGCAAAAGTAATCAAATTTTGATGTCAAGATTTTCAATATGTACTCATGATTTTCTAATATATTGGAGTACCGATTTTCAAAGTAGCTTCTAATTATCAATTGTATTTCAAGCAATGTCTGTGGTGTTATTTCCTTTTTCACATCAGGAATTTTAGTAGTTTGAGTTTTCTCTTTTTCTTCATTAGCTTGGCTAAGATTTATCAATATTATTTATTTTTTCAAAGAACCAACATTTTATTTCATTGATTTTTTTGAATCTATACTCAAATAAAATAGAAAATCATGAAGACATCAACAAATTTCTAGACACATGATCTTCCTAAATTGAATCAAGAGGATATAGAAAATTAAACAGATCAATTTCAAGCCATCAAAAGCCTACCAGCAAAGAAAAGTCCAAGTCTAGATGGCTTCTCAGCCAAGTTCTACAAGACCTTCAAAGAACTTAAACAAATACTCCTCAAATTATTCCATGAAACAGAAAAGGAGAGAACCCTCCAAACTCACTCTAAGAAGCTACTATCACCCTGATACCAAAACCAGACAAAGAACATCAAGGAAAGAAAACTTCAGACCCTATAAATATCCTTGATGCACATAGATGAAAAAAAATCTTAAAATAATGGCAAATAGCATACAAAACATATTTAAAAGATACTGAACCATGATCGGGTAGGATTCATTTCAAGGATGCACAGTTGGTTCCACATACAGAACCAAATAAAAATAATATATTACATCAACAGACTGAAAGACAAGATCACATGATTATCTCAATAGATGCAGAAAAAGCATTTGATGAAATTCAGTAATCATTCATGTTCAAAACAGTAGRAAAACTAGGGATAAAAGGAACATATATCAACATTATAAAAGTACCTGTGCTATACCCAAGGCCAATATCATGCCAAATGGAGAAAACTTGAAAGTATTCCCTCTAAACTCTGGAACAAGACAGGAATCCCCTCTTTCACCACTCCTATTTGATATAGTCATGGAAACCCCAGCAGGGCAATTAGATAGAATAAATTAAAGGAATATGAATAGGAAAAGAAGAGCTCAAACTATGCCTATTTGTCAATGACATGATCAGCAGAAAGCTTCTAAAACTCATAAATTATTTCAGCAAAGTAGCAGGGTATGCAATCAACACCTATAAATCAATTGCATTCCAATACACTAATGATGAATCAGCTGGAAAAGATCTCTACAATGAAAACTACAAAACACTAAAGAAAGAAATTGAAGAAGACCTCAGAAAAATGGAAAGATCTCCCATGTTCTTGGATACGCAGAATTAATAGTCAAAAAGGCAATACTACCAAAGGCACTATACAGATTTAATGCAATTCCTATTAAAATTCCAATTATGTTGTTCCTAGAAACAGAAAAAGCAGTCATGAAATTCATTTGGAAAAATAAGAGGCCCAGAATAGCCAAAACAATCCTCAGTAAGAAAAGTGTTGCAGGAGGTATCACAATACTAGACCTCGAATTATACTATAGAGTTATCATAACAAAGATGGCATGGTATTGGCACAAAAACAGACATGAAGATCAAAGGAATCATGCATACAGTTTCCTCATACTTGACAAAGATGCCATAAACATACATTAGAGAAAAGAGCCTCTTCAACAAATGGTGCTGGGAAAACTGGAAATCCATATGTAGCAAAATGAAATTAAATTCTTGTCTCTTGCCCTGCGTAAAATTCAACTCAAAGTGGATCAAGGACCTAGGAATGAGACCACAGATTCTGAATCTACTAGGAGAAAATGTAGGCTCAGCTCTCTATCATGTCGGCTTAGGAACTGACTTCCTCAATAAGACCCCCAAAGCGCAAGAATTAAAATGAAGAATTAATAAATGGGATGGTATTAAACTAAAAAGCATCTGCACAGAAAAGGAAACAATCAAGTACATGAACAGAGAGCCTACAGAATGGGAGAACATTTTTACCACCTGCACCTCAGATAGAGCATTAATCTCCAGATAAAAACTCAAAAAACTTAACATCAAAAAGCCAAATAACCCAATAAATAAAGGGGCAAAGGAACTGAACAAGCACTTCACAGAGTAAGAAATACAAATGGTCAAAAAATATGAAAAAATGTTCAACATCTCTAGCAATTAGAGAAATGCAAATTAAAACTACACTGGGATTCCATCTCACTCCAGGCAAAATGGCAAGTATCAAGAATACAAGTAACAAACAATGTTGGCAAGGATGTGGGGAAACAGATACACTCATACATTGCAGGTGGGACTGCAAATTGGTATAACCACTCTGGAAAGCAGTATGGAGAGTCCTTAGAAAACTTGGAATGGAACTACCATTCAATTCAGTTATCCCACTTCTCTGTCTATAACCCAAAGGATTTAAAATCAGCACACTACAGTGACAGTCACATCAATGCTTACAGCAGCTCAATTCATAATAGCCAAGCTATGGAAACAACCTATGTGTCCTTCAAGAGATGAATGGATAAAGAAAATGTGGTATATATACACAACGGAATATTACTCAGCCATAAAGAACAAAATGATAACATTTGCCAGTAAATGGATGGAACTGGAGTATATATGCCTAAATGAAATAACCTAGTCCCCCAAAATCAAAGGCTGAAATTCTCTCTGACATATGGATGCCAACCCACAAGGGAGAGTGGGAGAGGAAGAATAGAAGTCCACTGGATTAGAGAAAGGAAGGAAATGAAGGAAAGGTAGGGGGAATGAGAAGGACAGTACAAATTAATCAGACATCACTTTCCTAGCCTTGTATCTGAATATATGACCAAGGTAACTCTGCATCATGTACTATCACAAGAATAGGATTCTAATCAGAATAAGTTATAATCCATGAATGTTTAATATGCCAAAAGACACTCTATATTAGTCATATATATCTAAAAAGAACAAATAAATTTTTCAATATGTAAAGTTTTACTAATGATGAAATAACCAATACCACTGTACACTAATCATTATAAAAAAGCAAAACCAATATACAGAGACCTGACACCATTATTTTTTGAAGATATGTTTTCAAAACTTACCTCATGAGCCAACATTCTGTATAATTCTTCTTTCGTAATAGCTAGTCGTTCCCTGTCAATACTATCAACAACGAGAATGATGAACTAGAAGACAATTAAAAAAAAAAGAAAGTAAGTTGAATGTGATGGTGAAAAATTTTCTAATTTACTCAAGTGATATTAGTAGCTTCTTCACATAGCATCGTCATTCCTATAAAATAGATAGTGCTATTATTAGTCACCAAGAGCTTACAGAGTACAAAATGTTAATAATAAGATGATAACTGATAATTTTAATAAACAAAAACTGTAACCAAGTTTATTTGTTAAAGTGCTTTTTGAATATATACTATGTAATAATATTTGCTTTTAAATGTGAATAAAATTGATTTATAAAAAGAAACAGTAATTTAAAGAATACTTTCACTAAAACATTACTCTATTATTCATTTACTAATAATCAGCTACATATTTGAGACAGTCTCCCACTTATTGGAAAGAAAAAGTTAAAACAAATTAAGAATAATACTAATGTATTGGGAAGGTTTGCATTTCTGTAATCACAGCTACTCCAGAGACTGAGGCAAGAGGATCTCAAGTTCAAACTTAGCAAGATCCCTTCTCAAAAAAAAAAGTTTTAAAGGGGCTGTGGATGTAGGTCATGCATCATTTGCGTAGTATGTATGAGGCCCTGCATTCTATTCAGTACCACATACAAAGAAAGTGCTAAACTATGTTAAATTATATGTATTGGTGTTAATATGCTAAAGGATCATGCAGGTGAGATGAGAGAAAGGCAAGAGAGCCAGGACAACTGGAGTAATCCATTGGTGAAGGTGTACACGAAAAAAAATTTGGTCTTGCAAACAAAAATACAAGGAACTTCAAACAAAAATAAAAACAAAGAATGAAAGTAACTTTGCTAGGTAAAAAAAAAGATAGTAAGAAAAGGCATCTAGCTCAAACACCTTATACAGAAGATAAATTTAAAAAATGAGATTATATGGTGCTAAAGATTATGTAAAGTAGGGTGGTAATCTAAAATAAGATAGAAAAGATGGAGTTAAGTTATAGAAATGACCTTAAAACTAGAGAGAAACAACTAGAGCAATCTAAATGTAAACTGAGAAGGGTTTAAGACAAAAGCAAAGAGAAAGAAATACAGCAAAGGAAGAATGGACAGAATACCAAGAATTACATGTGAGTTAATGAGAGGAAGATGTCAGGAATTAACTCCTTAGATTATAATGTACCTTTTGGATGTCAGTCACTTCAATGCATAGAATTTTTAAAAAGCAAGGGGCTGGGATTGTGGCWCAGCAGTAGAGCGCTTGCCTAGCACATGCAAGGCCCTGGGTTTGATCTTCAGCACCACATAAAAATAAATAAATAAAATAAAGATATTGTGTCCAATTACAACTAAAAATATTTTTTTTTAAAAAAAGCAAGATGACAAGAGTGAACAAAAAGATTAGTGAAATACCACACAGATCAGATCCCTGTCTGGAATCTAAGAGTGCAAATGCTAGGTGTCATGCTGGTGTTGCAACAAAGGCCTTTATTTTTCATAGTAATTTTGATATTCTTACAGAAATAGTTTATTGAAAGAACATTTCATGCATATGGTATCAGTAATAAAATCTTTTTATGAACTAAGGGCAAGTCGCCTAGAATTTCATCAATTTCAAAAACTACCCTTCTGAAGTGTTTTAAGTACACTTGAAACATCTAGAATTAACTTTGACCTATTTCTCAAAGGTGAACTGCTCTTTCACAGCTGAATTTAACTGAGCTTTGGAAAAAGTTATTTATGCTGTTGACAAATGTATATTAATCTAACCTATAACAAAAATATTTGCTTATCTACTCTTCTGCCTCTCCTCACCCCCAACCTAAATAAAATAAGTACTACCACAAGTGCTGAATATTTGAAATAACTCATCCTGGTTTACTACTTACACACTGCATTAGAATATAAGCACACATACAGTTATGGTATTACAATATATATCTTTTTCTTAAAAAGGCAACTTTGTACACCAAAAATTCTTTCCATTTCACTTTCTCCCAAATCCAGTTTTTAAAAGGCTTCATTTTAAAAAATAATTCCTGAGGAGTACCTCTTTGCAAAGAAAAATTACATGGATTCTATTTACACTAGCATTCTCAAGATAAACCTCTCATCATCACTGTATGACCTAAGAAAAAATAAAGCAGAAACTGTAGATATTCCAGATTTGTTCCACAGGCTATCTCTGAAGTAATAAGATAATTACATAAGTGATAAAGAACTCTGAGGGATGCTGCAAACTCATCTTTTTTTTTTGTTTTTAAACATTACAATACAGTCTCACCAAAATTTTAAATATTCATTTGATGCTATTTGAAAATATTATGTTAAATCATACTTAAAAATATTTTACTCCTTCTTTAATCATGTCCTATTTTATTTTTGCAAGATTTTGGGAAAAGTTGTATAATTTCTCCTAATGTTAAATTTCTCCAATACTTAGAGATATTATAATATTGCTAAAAGAATAAACTGTGAGCGCCTACTCAACAGTAAGAACTCAATAAATAATCACTCCCAATACTCTTTTCCTTGCCTTTTCTATTTAAAAAATCTGAATTCTGTATAAAAAAACCAATCTTATTAAAAGATAACTGTCAATAATCCTAATTTACATTCTATTTTCTGTTTCTGTTTCTTGTTAAAATTCAGAAGTATTCTTGGCATACCTCTGTGTTTGAGTAATATGTGTTCCAAGATGACCGTAGGGACTCTTGACCACCAATATCCCACATAAGAAAATGAGTATTCTTTACAACTATTTCTTCAACATTGCTTCCTATAGTTGGAGAAGTATGGACCACTTCATTCATTAAGCTGTTGAAAAAGACAAACACTATAAAAACTCTCTTGTACATTTTGAGAAGAAAAGTAAGTTTTATCCCTATATTTTAAGAATGAATCAACCTTTCTCAAAATAAAAACCATAAGCATACAAAATAAATACTTGGAGAACATTTGTGCCAATAAAGATCTAGACAAATGGGGGCTAGGATTGTGGCTCAGCAGTTGAGCGCTCGCCTCACACGTGCGAGACCCTGGGTTCAATCCTCAGAACCACATAAAAATATATAAGTAAAATAAAGGTATTGTGTCCAACTACAACTAAAAAGTAAATATATATAAAAAAAAAAGATCTAAAAAAGAACAAGTACTGAAGACTTTTTTGTTGTTGTTTTTTGGTATTGGGGATTAAGCCCAGAGACACTTAATTGCAGAGCTATATCCATAGCCCTTTTTCTATTTTTATTTTAAGATGAAGGCTTACTAAGTTTCTCAGAACCTCGCTAAGTTGTTGAGGTTGGCCTCAAATTTGTGATCCTCCCACCTCAGCCTCTGGAGTTGCTGAAGACTTTTGTTTTTTTAATAGAATGAGATGTAAACTTGATTTGGATAGAAGGGAACACTGTAGTGTGAGTCTGCATTTCTGTGGGGAAAAAAATTCATATACCACCAATTTTTTATTATTTAGGTCAGAACCAATGCCTCATCCTCAACCAAGTTTCTAGGTGACTGACCATCAGTTTCTGCAATGGCAATCATTGGAGAGTAGGCTATCCATACGCATGGTGGTACACACCTGTAATTCCAGTTACTCAGAGGCTGAGGTAGGAGAATTAAAAATTCCAGGCCAGCCTGGGAAACCTAGCAAAACTTTGTATCAAAATAAAAAATTAAAGGAGCTGGTGATGTAGTTCCATGGCAGAAAACTCCTGGGTTTGATTCCTAGTAACACACACATATGCACAAACATGCACATCAAAGGCTATGTGAGAAATTTAAGACCTAGGTCAAAAAATTAGTGCAGTTGGGTACAGTGGCACACACTTCTAATTCCAGCAGCTTGGGAGGCTGAGGCACGAGGATTGCAAGTTCAAAGCCAGCCTCAGCAAAACAGAGGTGCTAAGCAACACAGTGAGACCCTGTCTCTAAATAAAATACAAAAATGGGCTGGGGATGTGGCTTAGTGGTTGAGTCCCCCTGAGTTCAATCCCTGATAACCCCCCCTCCCCCAATCAGTGTAGTACAACCCAAATTACAGACTTAAAAAGACCATGGGCAAATAAAAATCTTACATAAAAATGAACTGTATATTTATACTGCCATAATCATTAAATTATTTAATTCAGCATGTATTTGCTGACAATATGACAAAGTACTGTGTTGGAAGAGGCTTCCAGTTTTCTCCTGAGTTTTATATATATATTTGAAGCTACATGAAATTATAATAAAGAGAGAAATTTCTTAAATATATATATTTGTTGTTTAAAGACTTTTAAAATATTAAAATACACAATGGATAATGAATGAAAATGTGTTAAAAGAAGCAGTTACTGAACTCTGAAACAAACCACAGGTAGTAAGTTTTTAGCAAAGTAACTGAAAAATAACATGTATTGCTTAAGTGAATATTTCTGGTGAGCCACAGACTGATGCACATTTGTCTTTTTATTTATTTATTTTTTGTGAGGCTGGGTTTTGAACCCAGGGCCTCCTGCATACTAGACAGGAGCTGTGCTGAGCTACACTTCCAGCCCTAGATTCATATACTTTTAACACAAGATGTGGAGGGAAGAGATGAGAGCTATGCAATCCTGTAAAGTACTGTATTATTATTTGTAAAAATGCTTGAGATCCTGATCCATTTTTGTAAGTTAACATCTCATTGGCACTGAAAGGATCACTGTATTAGCACTTACAGAATAATAAGAGTTACTTGGATGAGTGAACTGAACTCTTAATTAAATTTCTTAAAGCATTAATATATTACTCTTAAAGTTTCAAGTTTCTCCCTTTTGTGAGCTAATAAAGCAATACTTTGATCATCAGTACTTCAGACAAGTCTGGTTATGCTAACTAATTCCAAAGCTATTAGTCAGGAGAGTAGTAAGTTCCCAGAAATATCAAGCTGGTGTGAGAAGAACTAAGTGAAATCCACTTTATCCACTTACCCAGTGCTATAATTTGTGTTTTATTTATTTTAGTTTAATATTGGTTCTTTCTTTTAAGGACAGAAAACAGAAAGTTCTTGTAGAAATATATATTTATCAAAACATGACAGCTTATTTACTTGCTTTTTTGGTAAAATGCTGAAAAAACATATATATATATATATATATATATATATATATATATATATGTCTTCCTATTATATTGAAAAAGTGAATAAAAATGGCATCTCATTTTTGTTAATTACAAAAACTATTAAATATCCATACTTACAATTGATAAAGAATGGTGGTTTTCCCCGCATTATCCAATCCCACTATAATTACTTTGTGTTCTACAGAAAGAAAGCAAACCATAAACATTTAATACTGTTGCATACTACAATTACATGTATTCATACAATTACACATTTTCAACAATGATTATTACTTAGCCTGTCAATGAAAAGTATTTACTGGATTTCTACTTCTGAACTACTAAAATAAATTTAGAAGCACCTGTCACTTTGGGTATAAACATTAATGTAGACAAAACATATGACTCTGCTTTACACAGCTACTTAAAGTCTCTGCTAATCAAGTTAGCTTTTTGTCAAGTTATGTTTACTTGTGATTTTCCACCTACATGTACCAGGATACTTTTCTTTTATTCACTTAAAAATCATTACCCTAAGTACATATATGAAGACCTGAATGGTGTGAATATACTTTGTACACAACCAGAGATATGAAAAATTCTATATGTAATATGAATTGTAATGCATTTTGCTGTCATATATAAATTAGAATAAAAAATTTTWAAAAAACCCCCTTTTAGCTGAAAACTGCAATAATTTTTGTTACCAAGACACACATATTCTTAACTAGTTTTTCATTGCTTGTACTAATTTAGAGAAATATAAGCAGTTACTCAGTCTAGTGCTTTTTTCAATCTGAATTCAACAATTTTCCTGTGCAGATAYTGTTTTTTGTATAACAAAAGTCATTTCAGTGCTTTTCTCCTTCTGGTGCCATGCACTAACTAGTCACTTCTTTATAAGCAGTTATTAAAGCCTGTCTAATTATTCTGGTAAGTGGTACATAATCTAAGATCTTCTTTGAATGAAAAAGAGAAAACCTCTGGATACCACACAGAATATATTAAAGATTTCATTAATCCAGGGCAGAATGCTTAGAAAGCAGGATATGTATGCAAGCTGTCACAAGAACCAGAATACAAATTAYTTTGAAGTCAACAATTTAGCATTTTGTATCCTGTTTCTCTTGATAACCTCTGATGAGTGTCAAAATTCTGATAATACATTTACCTGAATTCAGGTCATATTCCTATTCTAAAGCCTTAATACTGTATCAGTCAAAAAAAAAAAAAAAAGAGAGAGAAAGAGAGAGAGAGAGAGAGAGAGTGAGAGAGAGAGAGAGAGAGAGTGAGACACACACACACACACACCAGAATTAATGGGCAAATTCTTGAGATCACAACCTACTTTTGTATCTTCTAATGATTTATGCACTATAGGTACTGCCTATAATATTGCAGGACAAGTAGATGTGTTCCTCTGGAAAGGGTATTTTCATTATAGGAGAAGCTGCTTTGTAAAACAAAACTAAACCAAATGAAACTAGTTTACTTATTCTACGTCACTATTAATTCTTTTTCCATTCTTTTGGTTCATATCCCCTAATTTCTAATGGAGGCACTCTTGACGTGTTGTGCTGTTTGTTCTTGTTTATAATATAAGAACAAGAATACTCTTAGCACAGGCATTTTAAATTTTGATAGCAGCTGAAAACTTTACTTCTTCAGCATCTGGAGACCAGTTAGAAGAAAGTCACTAATCAAAGGGTAAGCAAAATTTAAAAGTATTTATGTATTTCTCTGAAAGTTTCAAGTCTTCTCTTTTGCAAGCTACCAAAGCAGTATTCTGACAATCATCACTTTAGATGATGCCATGCTACTCAGGAGTATCAGGGGAAGAGAATGGACAGACACTACCAAAATGAAGTGAATACCTGGAGCCATTTTCTTTCCATTTTTTTTTTTTTTTTTTGTAGGGTTGGGACAGGAGGAACCTGGGATTGAACTCAGGGGCACTCAACCACGGAGCCACATCCCCAGCCTTATTTTGTATTTTATTTAGAAACAGGGTTTCACTGAGTTGCTTGGTGCCTTGCTATTGCTGACACTGGCTTTGAATATGCAATCCTCCAGTCTCAGCTGCTGGGATCACAGGCCTGCACCACCGTGCCCCACCCTGGAGCCATTTTCAAACAATTCTGCTTCACATTTTGATGATGATGACAACTAGAGTATTAAAAGGCCTAACAGTAAAAATCATGCATCATTTTGAAAGTTGGTCTCCCAAAGGTTGGTCTCCAAAGTGAATTAAGGAGAGACAAACTCTGAAGGTGGATAGCATATAGATTTCATTCAAGTTGTATAAAACTGCTTCTAGCCCACACTGACAAGGAATTCTGGCAATTAAAACACACAATTTCAACTCTTATGATGAAGGTATACACAATTATCCTTAAAATAAACTGAATTCTATCTTCTGATGTTAAAATTACCATCAACAATCTGAGTCTATCTATAAGAGAACATCAACTATAAAGGAATGCCTATGTGCTTTTAAAAAGCACAGAATAATAAGGTTTTAGATCTTTGTTCTGAAAAATATATTTATCATCATCTGTACAGTAAGAATAAAAGCAGTTCAAAAGTCATTGATTAAAAACCAATTAAAAAATGCACTCTGTTGCATAAGAGTTGAAATTGTGTTTTGGGAAGCTACTAAATAATTGCTAATTGAGTATGTTGATGATCATATACTGGTTAGTAAAGTTTTTACCCATTCAAGGAAAAATTAATTTGCTGTCACAGAATAAAAGGTGCCCATGCTCAGGGCAGGAATATTTGTGTTGGGGATAGAAATGTGAGTAAAAATAATTTTAGGTTAAGACATTACCATAACTATCAGAGTTACAGTAAATTAGAATGTTTTCTTTAAAAAAATGTGTGTGCATACCATGAGATCATTACCAAGGACATCATTTCACTGGAAGTAACTTCCAGGAGAATCTCAAGTTCAAAGCCAGCCTCAGCAACTTAGCAAGGTCCTAAAGCAACTGAATGAGATCTGTCTCCAAATAAAATGTAAAAAAAAGAGCTGGGGATGTAGCTCACTGGTTAAGTACTACTGGTTTCACTCCCAGAAAAACAAGAAAAAGAAATACCTTCCTGGAAACCAAATTGTGCTTCTTTCTCCAACAAGAAGCTGGGAGAGATTCTTCCAATGTTATTTATCTATGCATCTCCAGACCCCAACATAATGTATGTTTATTTGTACTAAATGAAGGAAAGCTTCAATCGCAAAGTTTTAATTTTGATGAACTTTTTTGTATTCTTGGCTATGGTGTTAGTTCTTTTGGATTTCTTTAAAAATTGGTCCACGTTTTTATTTTGTAAGTAGTACAGGGACACAGACTTACACACAATGAGGATCCAAAAGAAATAAGTAAGAGCCCTTGCTTGTACATAGGAGCAGGTTAAAAAACAATGGCTAATAAAAATGAAAAAAGAAACTTCAAAGAAAAAAAGTGGGAGAAAAAAATCAAAGAAAGAAAAGGTTGGGCTGGGGATGTGGCTCAAGCGGTAGCGCGCTCGCCTGGCATGCGTGCGGCCCGGGTTCGATCCTCAGCACCACATACCAACAGGGATGTTGTGTCCGCCGAGAACTAAAAAATAAATATTAAAAATTCTCTCTCTCTCTCTCTCTCTCTCTCTCTCTCTCTCTCTCTCCTCTCTCACTCTCTCTTTAAAAAAAAGAAAAAAAGAAAAAGTTTCTCCTCGATTTTTAAATTTTACTCAGTGGAAAAAGAATTTATAGTTTTAGTATAGAATACCAATTGATGCCCAATAGACTAGCATCATGGGTACTAAACAGTAGTGGTATTAAAAAATAAATTGTAAAATGTGTCAAAATTTATTTTATCACATTAAAATTAATATTGTTAAAATATAATCAAATGTCCAACTTCTCATTTTAATGTGTAAGAAAGATACCATGAAATAGGGACTGCTACATTCTAGTAGAGCACATCTATCCCAATGCTATCATGTAACTAGAGCAAGTACTATAAATATAGTTTGTAAACAACCATAAAACCAAACAAAGGAAAAAATAATCAAATTTAGTGATTTAGAAAATTTGGGATACTATATTTATAAAATACATGTTTGAATTATTGCAAAGGTGTAGACAGAAAAAAAGTTAGACAGTAAAAAAGAGGAAAAAGCCTACATAGCAATGATGGCTGAATCTTGAAAATAAATACGCTCTCAAACCTTCTTTATCTCTGCTATATTAATTATAGAGTCATAAGATGTTATAGTTTAGAACAGAATGTAGAATCTGAGAAATATTTCTCTCTCACATAACTCACCTCCAAATGTACCTCTAATGAACCACCCCCCCCCAAAAAAAATCACAAAATTACTGACATAAGAAAAGCTAGAACTTGTTTCTCTGTTAGGTTACACTATATTCACTTCCCTCTCCTTTTCTTTAACCACCAACAATAACCACATTTCTGGATGATTCAATGTTTTCAAACCAACAATATAGATATGATGATTCAACAATTCAACATTTATTGAGTTCACTAAATGCTTTGACTATGGGATATTCATGATTAAAATGAACAGCAAAAGACTTTAACCTCAAGAATCTTAAAAGTAGGGTAAACAAGCACTTAAAAAATAGCACCATTAATACGAAGTAATAGAGGTATAACATGGTAATATTCTTAAAGGTAAGAAAAAGCTAGTATTCAACTTTCAGATAAGGAACAAAATGTCAAGAATAAAAAGAGATACTGAAGATTGTAATGTCAATAATAAAAGGAGATACTGAAGATTGTCATTAAGTATTTTGCATACATTATCTAGGCCAATTTTTGTAATTATCCCAGAAGAAAGTGATATTATTTCTCATTTTACTGATAAGAAACTGGAGTCTTAGGCTGAATAATTTTCCCAAGGGCATACTGCTGCAACGTAAACAGAACCTCATCCAGCCAGGTATCTGGTTCCAGAGAAGCAATTTTAACTAGTAAGGCAATATATTGCCTTCATGATCATATTATAACATTATTAGCAAACTACATATACATAAATAAAATGCTTAAAAAGACCTTACTTTTCATCCCTCATATACACTATTTTTAAAGTTTAAAAACATTTAAATATATCTTCATGGGTATTTAAAACATAGTTTTATTTCAAGAAGTATAGAGCCTATAGAAAAAGATAACCATGTTCCATATCTTTACTACT